GGAAGTGATTATCCTACAAAAAGATTTTCATCTAATTATATAAGCCTTGTAAGAGATCGTTGGTGTCTTTTAAACAACTATCATTCCTTGTGCCTTGACAATATGATACAATTTGCAAAAATTCAAATCTCAAATATTTTAAGAAACCATCTAACAGACAAAGGAAAGTATAAGTAAATATTCTGCATATTTTAAAATGGAACTCTGGTCTATGGAGTCCAGTAGGAGGCAACTAATAAATTATTCAATTAAGTGGATCTTTATATTTCCAGTGTTTAAAATAAGAAATCTTGATTGCAGGTCTTTTTTGCAGCCCAGATATTTGGTCAACCTTAATTCTTTTTTTTTTTTTTTTCTTGTTTGTGTGGTACTGAGGAATTGAACCCAGGGCTTCATGCATGCTAGACAAGCACTCTACCACTAAGCTACATTCCCAGCCTTCAACCTTAATTGTTTGATATAAACTATCAGCTTTTGAAACTTTTTTTAAAGAAAAAAATAAGATGTTTTTGCTAGGTGTTGGTGGCTCATGCTGTAATCCTAGCTACTCAAGAATGTGATCTGAGAATCAGGGTTCAAAGCCAGCCCAGGCAGGAAAAAGACATAAAACTCCCCAGCCTTCCCCAGTATTGAGCCTTTGAACTCAGGACCTTGTGCTTGCTAGGCAAGTTCTCAACAACCTGAATCATGTTCTCAATCCTTTTGCTTTTCAGCTTAATTTTCAGATAGTATATCAAGTTATTCTTGTCAGGGCTGGCCTTGAACCATGATCTTCCTCTAGAATACCTGATGATTACAGATATGCACCACCAAGCCTAACAATCTATCTTTCTTTTTTTGGCTATACTGGGGTCACAGATAAGCCTTTCTGCTTTTGTTATTTTTCAAGTAGGGTGTTTATGCACAGGCTGACTGGCCCACAATCCTACTTACACCTCCTGTTTGGCTGGATGACAAATGTGGTTGTTCACCACATTGAACTTTTATTGATTGAGAAGGGGTCTTGGAAACGTTTTGCTCAGGCCTGGAAGTTTAATCTTCCCAATCTCTGCCTTCCAAAATGGGCAGGATTTAAGTGAGAGCCACCCTACCTGGTTTTCTGTTTGTTTGCTTATTTGTTTGTATTTTCTTTTTTGCCTGTGCCAGTTATGGGGCTTGAACTCAGGGCCTAGGTGCTGTACCCGAGCTTTTTCATTCAAGGCTGGTGCTCTACTTCTTATGCCATAGCTTCATTTCTGGCTTTTTGTTGGTTTACTGAAGATAAAAGTCTTTCAGTTTTATCTGCCTCTGTTGGCTTTAAACTGAGATCCTCAGATCTCAGCCTCCTGAGTAGCTAGGATTATAAGCATGAGCCACTGGCAGCTGGCCATTTGTCTTTTTGAGGCAAAATCTTGACAGAGTCAAGCTTGGCATTAAACTTACAATTCTCCTGCTAAGCTTCCTGAGTACTGAATACAGGGGTACCTTACCATACCCAGTAAGACATATTTTCATTTAGGGTAGCAAAATGTCTCATTTAAACAGTTCTGAGAACAGAAATACTAACCACTTTTTTTTTTTTTTAAATCATGTATCTGGAGCCATAAAAACAACAGATTTTTTTTCAGTATAGACATCAGGCAGAATTTATAGCTAAAGGAATTCTATATAAAAACACAGCCAGGGGGCTGAAAGGCTGCTCAGTGGTAGAGTGCTTGCCTTGAATGCACGAAGCCCTGGGTTCGATTCCTCAACACCCCATAAGCAGAAAAACCAGAAGTGGCACTGTGGTTCAAGTGGTAGAGCACTCGCCTTGAGCTGAAGAGCTGAGGGACAGTGCCCAGGCCTAGAATTCAAGCCCCACGACTGACCCAAAAAAACCAAAAAAACAAAAAAGCACACATAAACATGTATGTGTGTGTGTGTGTGTGTGTGTGTGTGTGTGTGTGTGTGTGTGTGTGTGTGTGTGTGTGTGTGTGTGTGTGTGTGTGTGTGTGTACAAGGGGGATCTCACAGTTGTATGGTGATTTGCATTCAAGTCTACTATCCCACATCTTAACAACTGCCTTGTGAAGATGAATTACAGATGAGAGCAGCTAGGCCCCACAATTGTGTGTGACCCACCCACTCAAATATTAAGATGGTGACTAGGTTCTCAAATTCAGTTCCTCTGAATATTTAATTCATAGTTTTTCTGCCTTCTGCTCTGATAAGGTTATGTTTGTACATAACACTCTAAATCTTCATTCTAACGAACTTAAGCAACTCAAGAGCAAAGATGGGAGCAAGGGAATGAGAGGGAAAGAAGGAACAGCTTACACTAAACAAAAGGGAGTACATATCACCCAATGTAGGAGAAATAGTTGTACTGTCAAAGCTCATAGAGTTCACAAACATTATAGACCATGATGATAATTTGCCTCATGAAGGTTAAATGTGTTTTTGACGTTAAGTATCACTATCTCACAATACAGTGAAATTTATATAACCACTTAATCTCAGTAAAAATATTTTTAAATATAAATAAATAAATAAAAATCTTCATTCTAGAGTTAAAGACAATTTTAGGCTGATCCATATGAAATTGCTGACATTCAAATGTTTCTGGGAGCTCAGTGACAATGGCTCATGCCTATAATCCTAGCTACCCAGGAGGTTGAACTCTGAGGACTGAGGTTCAAGGCCAGCCAGAATAGAAAAACTATGTGAAATTCTTTTCTCCAATTAACCACCAAAAAGCTGCAAGTAGAGCTGTGGCTCAAGTGGTAGAGTACCAGCCTCGATAAAAAAAAAAAGGTAGTGACAGTGCCCAGGCCCTGAATTCAAGCCTGGGTACCTGACACATACTAGGCTACAGAAATGTCTATTTCATATGGTTAGTTCAATACATCTCTGAATGTATTGACAGTGACTTTCCTAATGAGAAAGCACCACACATATTTCTAGAGAAGGTTATACACCCGGAAGCCTGCCTACCTCTCAGGAGGCAGGGAAAGCTGCTTGCTTCTGGGAAGGCACTGAGACAGGGAAGGGCTCAGAAGGACTGCTCGTGATCACCACAGCCACAGGTCACGGGCTACTTGTCAGACCAAAGCATGAACTGGAGCAACACTGTTTCCACACCTCCCCTCTGTCCTGATCCTCAGCCTTAGGTAGACTATCTGTCCACTGAGAATTTCTGGGACATCAGGGCTATTTCCTATGAGATTAGGAGGGTGGGACTAGGGCATCTTCCGGAACTTCTCTTTCTCCCTTCCCATATTCTTGATCTGTGGCATGTGTTCCCCCACCCCATTTGCATCCACATCTTGGAGGAATGGGAAGGAGGAGGTCAGTCCTTCCTTTCCTACAGAGAGGAATTGGGGCAGGGGGAGGGGGAATGGAGGAGGAGGAATTCAGAGGAAAAGCTGTGTCTGGGGAAAGATGTGGCACTGATACAGAATGACCCATTTAAAAGGGCCATGTGAGGTAACGTGGGCTCACGGGCTTTCAGCAGACTGAACTTGTGTGTGTGTGTGTAGTATACATGGATGAACACACATTCCACCTTCACATTCACACATGCAAACTGTACCCATAGTCACTTGAAAGTTGCCAAAAAATTCAGGCCAGGAGCAAGTGTAATTACTCAGTGTCTGCCTACTCCATTTATAAAGGGGACATTTGGGAAAAGAAAAGGGGTGTGGGGTGTGTGTGTGTGTGTGTGTGTGTGTGTGTGTGTGTGTCCAGTGAGAACTGGACTGCTCAAGAAAATACCAGTACTCAGGAGGCTGCTGCAAGAGGACTGTAAGCGAGACTCTGTACAATCAAACAGTGCCACAAAAGCCACGTGGGGATAGACAGGATAAGGAGGGGTGGGGAGGAGGAGCCTGCCTACTTGTCCTCCCTTCCCTTCCCTTCCCTCCTCTCCCTCCGTCCCTTTCTCTTCATCTCTCCCAACCTCCGTCCTCTTAAGTTAATGGGCACCATTGAGCACAAGAGCAGCCCTAGCTAGGGAGAGTGTCAGGCCTATAGGCTCCTAGGCCAGGAAGAACTTGAGGTAGGGCAACCACACCAGACCAGACTCAGATTTCCTCCATACTCAGACTTCCATCAAAACAGGTGGTGCTTCATCATCCCCCATCAGACTCATTTTTTTTAAAATTTTCTTTCTTTCCCTCTTTCTTTCTCTCTCTCTCTTTCTTTCTTTCTTTCTTTTTCTTCCTTCCTTCCTTCGTTCCTTCCTTCCTTCCTTCTTTCCTTCCTTTTTTTGCCCTGAAAGGTTCCACACTTGTGCTTCTATGAGGAGTGGGAAATTAACCTTATACGGTTATGTTCATTTTCTCTCACTTACTGCCTATCATTCATTTTCACAGATTTAGAAACTGAGGCACAAAACAGTAACTGGTCTAAGGTCACCCTTTAGGAAGTGGGCTGTATAGACCATACTCCTACACTGCCCATCATTGTATCCCACCATTGTGAGGGGCTGGTGCATGGGAACCACACTTGAATGGCTGTCAGAACATGTCAACTAAAGTCCTGATTATATATAACCTCAATGTGAGTTTGGGTGATCACTTAACTCCTCAAAGCCTCTTTTTTTCTACTTGAGAATTTGAGAGAGGTAATCTCTAAGGTCTTCTTATTTAACCATCTATGGCAAACAAGGAATTTCAATGACACGCATACCAGTGGCCAATTTTTTTGTGTGTCAGTACTAGTATTTGAACCCAGGGCATCATGCTTATTCAGTTAACTTGTGCTCAGCTTCTAATGACTAAATATTAACATGTTTTAAAATCACCAAGTAGGAAATAGGTAGAAGAATGAGACAGATATATTCATAGGCTATGCCATGATTAGAGAACATGTGGACAGGTACAGGAGGGTCCCAGTTAGAATAGGCCTGCAGAGGGGGAGGAGTACTTGTAAACAAGCAGGTCTGCCTAGGCTGGGCCAGCTCCAGTAGTGTAATGGTCAGGTCCAGCGAAGACAGAGAAGAGGCAAGGAAGAGAGCTGTAGGAACAGGAATGACTCACCATGACAATGTTGGCCAGATGGGCAGAGACGAGAGCATACACCCCTCCAGAAGAGCCCACAACAGGGGCAGTCATGTCAGCCACAGACACAGCCAGAGACCCTAGTATAGAAAAATGGAGAGTTGTCAAGAATATGGGGCTCAGCTATACCTGAGTGGGAAGACTCCACAGCAAAAGCCTCCATCTCTTCCTCCTTGTTTTTTGTTTTTTGGGTCCAGTCGTGGGGCCTGAACTCTGGGCCTAGGCGCCGTCCCTCAGCTCTTCAGCTCAAGGTTAGTGCTCTACCACTTGAGCCACAGCGCCACTTCTGGCTTTTTTTCTTTTTGCTTATGTGGTGCTGAGGAATCAAACCCAGGGCCTCATGCATGCAAGGCAAGCGCTCTACCACTGAGCCACCTTCCCAGCCCTCTCTTCCTCCTTTGATACCAACGTTGCCTTGGATTTCCCAAAGAATTAGTTTATGGTAGAAATTAGCACTTGATTCAACTTTCACACTTTACACAAGAGAATGCAAGATTTAAAGAAGGAAAAAGTGAGCCAAGAGTGGGTGGCACACCTGTATTCTTAGCACTCATGCAGAAGGATTATGAGTTTGAGGCCAATCTGGACTACAGTCAAGCCCAGTCTCAAAAGAACAAGGAAGAAGGAAGGAGGAGGAGGAGGAAGAGGAGGAGGAAGAGAAGAAGGAGAAGGAAGAGGAAGAGAAGGAAGAGGAAGAGGAGGAGGAGGAAGAAGAGGAGGAGAAGGAAGAGGAGGAGGAAGAGGAAAAAATGTGTGATTTGCTCAAAGTGGGTCCTGAGTTATAACCTAGATCACCTGCCTCTCTACCTGACATTGCGCTGGTACAGGGTTCTGAAGTAGAAACAACAAAAACAAGTGGCAATAGTTACCCAGAAAGAACTGGCTACACACAGGCAGTGCATGGAAGACACTGGGCAAGCATTTTACATCCATTCCTCCCTTCCACCCTCAAGCAGAGAAAAGAGAAGGATCTGAGCCAAGTATCCTGGAAGTGCTAGAAGTAGGACTTGAGTCCACTCTGCCTGATACAAAACTCATGTTCTTTCTTTCTTTTTTCTTTTTGGATAGAACCCAGGGCCTCATAAATGCTAGGCAAGTGCTCTACTGCTGAGCTACATCCCCAATCCAAAATGTGTGTTACTGATCAAAGCTCTCAAAAGTAGGCACCCTCTATACAGGCACTTCTACCACTGTCCCCTTTACACAGCTGTATCTAGAAAGCACCATCACTCCCAATCACCCTGTAGTTGAAAAAGCACAAAAGACCAACAGGATCCCAAGTGGGGACTTTTCTGGAGGAAAAGACTGTCCTTGAAAAGTCCTTAGGAAGATACAGATGATGTCATACTCTCTGGGGGGGAAAGGGAGGCCTATGGCTTTTGGTCTAGGGGATGACAAAATTTTGCTCTGGAAGGAAAGCTGGGCAGAGAGGAGATGGGAAATTTATTGTTCTGGTCTTATTTAAGTGTGATCAATGCTTTGGCTTCCAGGGCAAGACACAGGAGACTAAAAATAACTGGGAGGTAGAGCCCAGGGCAACAGAGGGTGAGCAGTGGCTGGCCTGGGTGAGTGAGCAGAAACAACCACTGGAAAATGCCTGCAGGCTCTGGAGCCAATTAGCCATTGGAAACGGGAAGGACAGGCAGAGATCTGACTTCTGCAGGCTCAGGGGTGAGGGATCCACACCTTAGGAAGATGGTCAGGAACTCTGACCTTCTAAATCTGGACATGGAGAGTTCCCCTATAGAATATCAGCGTGTCATTGTCCATCTGCCTCTCCCTAATCCCTTGTGAGCACTTTTAAGGAAGAGATTCCCCACGAGAAATACTTAAGTGTCAATCTCTCAGAAGAAAACCCCAAACTGTTAATGAACTGGGGACTCCCAAAGTTCTTCTCCCCTCCCAGAGCATCTATAAATCTTTCTGTACCTCTTTCATGCCTTCACTCTGGCTTTAATAAGGTATTGATCTATTGTCAGATAACTTTCTTTTCTTTCTTTCTTCCTTTTTCTTTTTTTTTTTGATGACCCAGCCACAGGGTCAGCCATATATAAGAGAAAGAAAAAACTCCCAGGGTGGCACATACATAGGCAGAGATCTGCATGACAAAGGATTCCCACGCTCTCCTGGCGGGTTGTCTGAGAAGGCTGCATTGCAGGGCTGTGCAGGGCTGGCTGCCCAAGCCGCTCCTCATTAATTACCATTTGGACAGAAGAAGGCCCAGCCTCTCTGGCAAGGCAGCTCCCACTTCCCACTCCAGCATCATCCACCAGGGTAGGCTACAGGCAGCCTGCAGGCAGGAAAGAGTCCGTGGCAGAATCAACTTGAACAACACTGACCTTTCCTTCACCCTATTCATGATTCAGTCTTGATTCCTAGGGCAGGGGCCAGCTTTGGTCCATAGACATATATAGAATGGGGTGTGTATGTGGCTAGACTGTTATATGACCTTGGGCAATTGCCCCTGAATTCTTCAGGCTTCAAGTTTTCACATCTACAAAATTAAATCTAAAGTTTTCCAAATTCTGAGCAGTAAAACCACCTTTTCAAAGGAAACTTGACCAGAACCTTCTACCTACAGAGCAGAGTGTGGCCCTACTTGAATTGGGGTGTGGGGAAGAGAAAAATCTTACCATCCACACTAGAGGGGACCTCAAATGTTTCTTCTAGAGGAATTCAATGATCCCTGGCTTGGCCTATGACTCAGGGGCTGAGGCCTAGATCCTGGTTCTAGAATCCTGAGGTTCTAGAAACCTGGACCACAGGCTAGACTTTCCTGCAAATGAGCTGGGGGATGAAAGGATTGGATGGGCTGAACACAAACAAGAGATATGTGTATATAGAGTACCAAAGGCTATCCTAAGACATGACCTGAAATACAGGCCCAGCAAGATCCCCTCACCAGCTAGGAACCTCGGGGATGACAATTTCGTAAGACCAGTATGAATTCTCACAGAGATTGTGGGACACCAGACGGGGAGAGAATGGCAAACTGTAGTGATGGTAAACCTTACTTCCACTCAGTGGTGGACCAAGGGGCTGGTTCTAATCGGGACTACAAGGGACTCCAAAACACGCTCTGGGTCTATTCCAGAAGTCATCAATTGGGGACCTTGCTATGAAGCACAACTTTCCGTAGTTTTAACTTGGAAAGTTTTAAGGCATAAGGCATTTTTCTTTCTTAGCCATTAGCAAAAATCCAAGTAAAAATTGGCACAACAACTGCATGTAAGCAATGTAACCTTATTTATTCATGTCTTCTTTCATGCATTCTACTAATATTTATTACCTAAAAGGTTCTAGGCTCTGGGAATGCATACATGTCTTATAATCTATATAAGCTATAAGAAAAAAGGTTGGAGGCAAAGCTCAGGTGGTAGAGCACCAGTCAATATGCAAAAGCATCACTGAGTTCAAATCGTGGGTCTCAGAAAATCAAAAGAGCTGGGTGCCAGTGGCTCACGCCTGTAATCCTACCTACTCAGGAAGCTGAGATCTGAGGATCTCAGTTCAAAGCCAGCCTGGGCAGGAAAGTCCGTAAGACTCTTATCTCCAACAAACCACTCGAAAATCAGAAGTGGCGCTGTGGCTGAAGCAGTAGAGCGCTCGCCTTGAGCTGAAGAGCGCAGGGACAGTGCCCAAGCCCAGAGCTCAAGCCCCATGACCGACCAAAAAAAAAGAGAGAAGAAAAAGAAAAAAAGATTAGTGATGCACTTAAGATACTAGTTTTAATTGACTAAAGTATGATATACACAGGAGATTTCATGCTGTAACCTATTTAAGCTATCAACAGACAATTTAACAAAACAAATACCAGAAAGCTAAAACATGTCTTCACTGGAGGTACAGGAACTAAAGGGGGGGGGACAAGTTAATGGAGAGAGGACTGATGAATTTATACAGTCATAGCACTGAATATACATACACGAAAATGGAACTAGAGAACTTGAGAAGGATGGGGATGGGAAAGCATGATGGATGGAAGGAGTGACTGATAAGGATGCATTGTACACATAAATGGATAAGTTAAATTGAAGCCTCCTTGTACAACTCTTTGAAGACATAATAAGAAGAAAAGATACTGGCTTTTAAAGTAGTTACACTGTTAATAGCTTACACTGTTAGTTGTCATGAGTGAGTTGCCTATTGGCATAAATGTTGATTAGAAGCACAGGGCTCACTGCAGTTCAACTGGCTGATTATATCACCTCTCTAAACTGCCTGTAAAATGGGTGTTATAGCACCCACATCACAGAACTGTTGTGATGCACAACGTCTTGGAGCCCTGTATCACACTTCTGGAAACTATACACACAGTAAGGGTGAGCCATTTTTGCTATAAAATGTGATGACGTTGGATAAGCAATACTTTTCTTTTCTTTCTCTCTCTTTTTTTTTGGGGGGGGGGTAGGTTGTAGGGCTTGAACTCTGGGCCTGAGTGCTGTCCCTGAGCTCTTCAGCTCAAGGCTAGTACTCTACCACCTGAGCCACAGTACCACTTCTGTTTTTTTCTATGTGGTACTGAGGAATTGAACCTGGGGCTTCATGCATGCTAGGCAAGTACTTTACCACTAGGCCACATTCCCAGCTAGCAATACTTTCATTAGGCAGGAAATCAGAAAGTAGGCCTGACACCTATCATGTCTCCCTTTCTTTATGATAATAAATAAAGGCACAAAGACAAAAACCTACCTCTTGGTCATCTTTATACTATGGTAATGTGTATGGGACAGTTTTTGGGAACACAGTATGAGTGTGAGCCCAAATCCATCACATCTGAGCTGTGTCTTCTTCTCAAGTCAATTGTTCCTATAAGCCTTGGCTTCTGGCTCTGTTTATGTGTGCATGTGTAGGTGCTGGAGATTGAGCCCAGAGCCTCCCACATATTAAACATAAGGCCAGTATTAAACACATGCTACACCACTAAACTACATTCCCAACCCCAAAGTCTTAGGTTCTGTTACTTGTACCAGGTAGAAAACAGCAGTAACTGCCACATGGGATGGTTGTAGAGGTTAATTATAGCGGTACAAGGTAGCTCTTCCCTCTGGTCTGGCTGTCAGTAAACAGGCTTAGGAGATCAACTGACTCAATCCCGAAGATCAATGGCCTGATATGTGGTGACCAGAGTGACCTCTGTTCTGACTCAATGACTCAGACAGCACAGGGCTTGCTCTTGGCTGGCAGGTTGCTACAGCCCTTCATCCACCAATTTAGGTGATGAATCCCACTTGTGTCTGTACTTCCCACTCCATGCTGACATCACTGGGAGTGCTACCTGCCGTCTCCCGACTGTGTCATCTGTTCTGACTGAGGGCTGAGTCATTCTGGATCTTATTGCTGTCTTCCAGGTAATATAGCACCCCCATCTAATTGACTACTAACTGCAAGTGTTACGAGCATCTTCCCCGTTCCCCGCCATTTAACATCTGGGACTCTTGAGTGTCTAGGTATAGAAAATGAAGCTATAACTCCCTAGATGTAAGGACTCAGTGGTGTGTTGGAGGCTGAGAAAATGGGGTACAAAGAGGTGCTTTTCCCTTCCTCCTTCCCTCCCTCTTCTTTCTTTCTTCTCTCTCTCTCCCTCTTTCCCTCCCTCACCTCCTTTCTCTCTCTTACACAGCACTGGACCTTCATCACCCTATACCCTCCCCCTCCCCCTCCCTGCCCCTTCCCCCCTCCCCGTTTTTGCTGGTCCTGGGGCTTGAACTCTGGGCCTTGGCACTCTCCCCAAGTTCCTTTTGTTCAAGGTTAGTGCTCTACTGCTCGAGACACAGTGCCACTTCTAGCTTTTTCTGTGATTAATTGGAGATAAGAGTCTGATGGATTTTTCTTCCAGGCTGCTTTGAGCTATGATCCTCAGATCTCAGACTTCTGAGTAGCTTGGATTACAGGTGTAAGCCACTGGTGCCCATCTTCTTTTGATCATTTCTTTCTTTTTTTTTTTTTTTCTTTTTAGCAGTTATGGAGCATGAACTCCCTAACAGGGCCTGGGCACTGTCCCTGAGCTCTTTTGCTGAAGGTTAACACTCTACTACTTTGAGTCGCAGCTCTACTTCCTTCATTCTTTTTTTTTGGGTGTGGGGGGGTCGTCATGGGCCTGAACTGTGGGCCTGGGCGCTGTCCCTCAGCTCTTCAGCTCAAGGCTAGCGCTCTACCACTTGAGCCACAGTGCCACTTCCGGCTTTTTTTCTTTTTGCTTATGTGGTGCTGAGGAATCGAACCCAGGGCCTCATGCATGCAAGGCAAGCGCTCTACCACTGAGCCACCTTCCCAGCCCTTTTTTTTTTTTGTATGTGTGTATGTGCCTATCCTGGGGCTTGAACCTAGATAGAGCCTGGGAGTTATCCCTAAGCTTATTACCACTTCTGCTTTTTTGGTAGTTAAGTCTCATGACTTCCTGCCTGGGCTAGCTTTGAACCTTGATCCACAGATCTCAGCCTCCTGAGTAGACATGATTACAGGAGTGAGCCACCAGTGCCAGGCTCCCAGACCTTTCTTTTGTTGTTGTTGTTCATGGGGCCTGAACTCTGGGCCTGGATGCTGCCACTCAGCTCTTCAGCTCAAGGCTAGCACTCTACCACTTGAACCACAGTGCCACTTCTGGCTTTTTCTGCTTATGGGGTACTGAGGAATCGAACCCAGAGCCTCATGAATGCAAGGCAAGCACTCTACCACTGAGCTTCCCAGCCCCTTGTAGACCTTTCTTTCTTTCTTTCTTTTTTTTGTCAGTTACAGAGCCTGAACTCTGGGCCTGGGTGCTGTCCCTCAGCTCTTCAGCTCAAGGCTAGCACTCTACCACTTGAGCTACAGCGCCACTTCCAGCTTTTTTCTGCTTATGTGGTGCTGAGGAATGGAACCCAGGGCTTCATGCATGCGAGGTAAGCACTCTACCACTGAGCCAACTTCCCAGATCTGGTCGACCTTTCTTAAGGACACAGTAGGTGGGAGATTCTAGGAAAGGGTTGTGAGGGCACAAGGTCTAAACTGGTGACCACAGATAGAAATAACAGGAGAATCTTCTAGGTCAAGGGTTTTCCAACTAGCAGACCAGTGTCGCAGGGGTAGGGTGGGATCCTTCCCTTTTATATTTGAGACCAGTTTAGTGGCTACCAAGGGCCCCTGCCTGGATGGTATTTATAAGGCCAAAGCTGCCCAGCTCTCTGATGATAAGTTTAATGCCACTCAGAAAGGATTAAGATCTCACTTAAACATACACACAAAACTCTCTTGGGTACAGCTGTCAAGCTGAAGAGCTGAGGTAGCAAACCTTGTAAAAAAATTTTTTTAAGAAAAAAAAAAGAGCAATAAAGTTGGAAACATAATGAGGGAGGATCCCTGGTGCGCAGAAGCTGGGCTGGTGAGACTTTTTTCTGCAGAAATCAGCTCTGCTCCCCCAGCTCCCTTCTCTACTTCTTGCTCCAGGGAGAAGGATCACTTGCCACAGCCACACCTATGCAGGTGTCAGGCTGACACACCCCTCCACCCTCAACTTCTCCACTGTCTCCTAGACCAGACTCCTCTTGTACTCAGAGGGTCAATCAAGGGGACAATGGTTAGTTTAAGTAGAGGCAAGATCTCCCTGTGGGTTCAGCTGCTGCTCTGGCCAGGAAGATACATAGGTTTGGGCCCATGGCTGCCCTACGCAATCTCATTCACCCTGCATTTTTTTTTTTTCCTCAGTCATGGGGCTTGAATTCACGGCCTAGATGCTGTCCTTGAGCTCTTTTGCTCAAAGCTAGAGCTCTACCACTTTGAGCCACATTGTCACTTCCACTTTTTCTGATAATTAATTGGAGAAAGAGTTTCACAGATTTTCTTGCTGGGCTGGTTTTGAATTGTGATCCTCGGATCTCAGCCTCTGGAGTAGCTAGGATTACAGGTGTGAGCCACCAGCACCTGGCACCCTGCACAATTTACTTTTTTTTGGGGGGGTGGGGTGGGGTCAGTTGTGGGGCTTGAACTCAGGGCCTGGGTGCTGTCCCTGAGCTTTTTGTGCTCAAGGCTAGCATTCTACCACAACCTGCACAATTTAAGCAGCACCGTTTTCCTACCCACACAGCTCTTACATCCCTACAGAGCTTGTTAGTTCCTTCTTCAGGCATGACAGGACCAAGACAGAGGTTAAAGCATTTTTCCAAGCTCATAGAATGTAGACACTGTCAATCTGCCTGTTCCAAATTCTGTGTTCTGCCCCACTAAGCCTCACACATCTTCCTGTCTGGGCTCCAGGGAGGTGGGAGATTTGCCTGGAACCTTGGCAATGAGAATTCCATGTGTGACCTGGAAGCCTAGTGCTTGTCCCACTTACAGGCTCTCCCTCAATCCATCCTGGGAAGGTTCATCCCTTGGACACAGGGCCCTCCTTCCTACCTGCCACAACGCCGGCCACATAGACAAGCCCGATGCGGGTGGCTCCATGTACCATCTCCAGGGGCACCCCTACTAGCAGCTGCAGCACGACATTAAGTCCCAGATGTTCTATCCTGTAACAGATCATACTCATTAGTTCACTTAACAAACACCATGTGAAGAGAGGCTGAAGATTCAGGAGTGAGCAAGACTCTTGTCCCTACTTCTGAGGAGCTCCTGGTATGTGGGGGAGAAAGACAATGCAGCCAGACTACTTTGGAAACAGCCTCCCAAGTGTTCCAGCCAGGACTGAATTCACAAACAGGGCCCGGGTGGAGACTAGCAGTATCTGTCTGCCACTGTGAGCAAGACTAAGCACAGTCAAGAAGACAGAACAGTGTCATGGGTTCATATGCACAAAGCCAACGTTCAGAGAGGGGCACGGATTGACTTAAAGTCACATAACTAATCAGGGGCCTAGCTGGGGATCTACCTGACTTGCTCTATCCTCTGGCCTTGAGGTTACCAGAGCACTCTAGTATATTTATAAAAACTACTGATGCTGAAAAACAAAATGTTTTTTGCCAGGTCTGGTGGCTTATGTCTATAAATCCTAGCTACTCAGGAGATTGAGATCTGGAGGAACTACGTTTAAAGACAACCTGGGGCAGACAGTGCACGAAATTCTCTACTCCAAGATAACTGGAAAAAAAGTGAGGCTAGAGGCATGGCTCAAATGACGAGTGCCAGACAACCAAGCAATCCAAACAAGTATGAGGCCCTGAGTTCAAACCCTGCCTGGTACTGGCAAAAACACTTGCCAAAAAACAAAAGATATTCTCAAAAACACAGCAAGCATTAAAGAGAATACCTATAACTTAATAATTTCAAGTTTTCCTTTAAGTTTCATCGAGGAAACTTCTCCTTTGTAGTATGAAAATGTACCTGTTCCTCTCCAAAATTCTCAGGGCAAAGAGAAGGGATAGTAGGCTTTCTTACCCTGTGAACCTCTACCTTTGTATAATACAAGTCATCTGGTGCCAGATCTTGTCCCTAAATGTGTGGTGTGTCTAAGCCAAGTTTAAGTATTACCAGAAAAGATCGTAAGGTTACTACTGCTATATTCAATCAATATGGGGCTCTCAAGTTTACAAAGCACTTTAAAGTCCATTTTCTCATTTAAACTGAGCTTGCAGACACTGAACAGCTCCCTGGGGTTGGGAGGGTGTTGAAACAAAGAGTCGAGGTTTTACTCTGGGTAATGGCTCTAGCTTGGTCAGCAAGGCCTTGACTGGAGGCTTACTTGGGCTACAGAGCTGACACATGAGCACCTTCAAGGTAACTTGGACAAATTGAGCTGTGTCCTGAATCCTCACTCTGCTGGAATCCTCTACCTTTTACTGCCTATACTAGCAAAAGGATTCTACGATGAGAAATGTTAGGAAAATTCACTGGAAAGGTTGAGTGACAATGCCATGTGAGACCTTAGAGGCTTTCTGCGCTTATGCCCTTGAAAAGACTAAGAGACTAGCCCAGTGCTGATGGCTCATGCCTTTTAATCCTAGCTCCTGAGGAGGATGAGATCTGAAGATCATGATTTGAAGCCAGCCCGGGCAGGAAAGTCTGTGAAATCCTTATTTCCAATTAATCACAGGAAAAGGCCAGAAGTAGTGCTGTGGCCAAGTTGTAGAGCACTAGCCTTGAGCTAAAAAGGAGCTCAGGGGTAGCACCCAAACCTAGAGTTTGAGCCCTAAGACCAGCAAAAAATGAAATTAAATTAAAAAATAAAAGACTCAGAGACCAGATGAGGAATAACCCAGAGCTCCTGAGTTTTGCTTCTCTACCACAGCAACTTCTGGATTCCTAGGCACACAGCATAACAGTTTACCTTGCTGGGCCCTCCCTACATGTTGGCTGTCTCTGTCCCTCCAAACCTCAAACCTGGAGAACCTTCCCAGGCACTCCAAGAGCCTTAGGGGTCATAGCTCAGTGGCAGAGCACTTTCCTGGGATGTACAAAGGCCTGGATTCAATCCCAGGCACTTAAAAAAAAAACTGTATGTATATGTGCATATATTTTCAATTTTAGATGATCCTGACCACTTATCAGCAGGGATTCTTGGTAGAAAGAAGACAGGTACTCACCCTGCATGCATAAAGATGTATGTCAGGTAGCGCCAAGCCTGAGCCCGGAGCTGGGGATGATAAACCAGTGAGTTCTTTAGGTAGTGTGGATGGGTCACCTGCAGCACAAATTGATTCAGCGATACCCCATTGTAGAGGAAAAAAGCAACCTGCACAGAATGGAGTGAGAAGACTTGTTCATTGCTAGGCATGGTTGCCCAGAGATATCCCTCATGATGACCAGCAGTGGAGTCCCTACAGGAGGCTGTCATCCTCCCTTCTCAGAGAACAAAAAACATCACACAGCCAGTGTCCACCCAATGCCCAGCCATCCCTCATCATCCTGCTGTGAGTGTGTATGTGTGTGTGTGTGTGTGAGAGAGAGAGAGAGAGAGAGAGAGAGGGAGGGAGAGAGGGAGAGAGAGAGAGAGAGGGAGAGAGAGAGGAGGAGGAGTTAATTGGATATGAGAGTCTCACAAACTATCCTGCCTGGATTGGCTTCAAACTGTGATCCTCGGGCTGGGAAGGTGGCTCAGTGGTAGAGCGCTTGCCTTGCATGCTCAAGGCCCTGGGTTCAATTCCTCAGCACCACATAAGCAAAAAGAAAAAAGCCGGAAGTGGCGCTGTGGCTCAAGTGGTAGAGCATTAGCCTTGAGCTGAAGAGCTGAGGGACAGTGCCCAGGCCCAGAGTTCAGGCCCCACGACCGGACCCAAAAATAAATTAAAAAAAAAAATCAAACTGTGATCCTCGGATCTTAGCCTCCTAAATAACTAGGATTACAGGCATGAGCCACCAGCATCCAGTAGAGGTTGATTTCTTTCTCTCTTTTTTTTTTTTTGTCAGTCCTGGGCCTTGAATTCAGGGTCTAGATGCTGTCTCAGATATCTTTTGCTTCAGGCTAGTGCTCTATACTTTGAGCCATAGCTCTACTTCCCATTTTTTTGACTAATTGGAGATAAGAGTCTCATAGACTTTCCTGCCCAAGCTGGGCTGGCTTTGAACTGTGATCCTCAGATCTCAGCCTCTTGAGTAGCTAGGATGAGGCATGTTGATTTCTTTAACAAACAAAAAAAATATTATGGTAGAATACATATAAAATTCACCACTGTAACCACTTTCCAGTGTTGAGTTTAGTTTGTGGCATTAAATATATTCACATCAGGTCACTGTCACCAATGTCCTTTCATCTTGCAAACCTGAAATTGTGTTCCTGTTAAACAATAACTTCCTGTTGCCCCTGCATATAACAGGAATCACCCAGTCATTCTCCTGTTGTAACTGGCTCATTTTACTTAGCGTATTTTCCAGCCTGTAGTATTTTTGTGTTGTAGCATGTGTCAGAATTTCCTTCCTTTTAAAACCTAAATAATATTCCAGAGTTTTCCTTTTAAACCATTCATCTGTCTTTGGACACTTTGAGCTATTGTGTTATGTTGCTATAAACACAGTGTGCAAATATCTTTTCTAGACCCGGCTTTCATCTCCTTTGATACACACTCAGAAGTGAAATTTCCGGGTCATATGCAGTTCTGTTTGTTTTTAACAAATACTAGACTTTTTTTTCATAGTGACTATACCTACACTTACATAAAGGTCTGGGTCCCTCACATCTTCACCAACACTCCATACAAATCAGTTTTGTAGAAGACAAAAGCCTAAAATGTGGATTTTTTCTTTTTAAAATAAAAAAAATTTGTATTTGTGTGCGTGTATGCGCGCGTGCGCATGCGCGAGCGTGCGTGCATGTGTGGGGCTTGAACTCAGTTCCTCACATTCTTGCATGGCTGGTGCTCTACCGCCTGACAGTTCCAGTGTTTTGCTAGTTAACTGAAAATAAGAATCTCTCAGATTTGTCTGCCTGGGCTGGCTTTGAAAGGAAATTCTCAGATCTCAGACTTCTGAGTGTCTAGAATTATATATGTGACCCACTGGCACGCAGTCTGTCATAGCATATGCTGAATTTCCTAAGTGCTCTTGTGCACTGAAATAGTGAGCTACCCTAAGTGGTTTGGGGCAGTATTCTGTAGGTATGGTTTAGGTCAGAATGTTACCCACTCAATCCATCAGGGACTCTGAGTGATACACAGACATCCGGATCACTTTATCAGTGTTTGCTTCCAGAGTGGTCAGGAAGCTTAAAAGTGATAAAGTAATATGAACTGGAGGCATGGCTCAAGTGGTAGAGCACCAGTCCTGAAAAGAAAGCCAAGTAAGAGTGTAAGGCCCTGAGTTCAAACCCTGGTACTGTTAAAAAAAAAAAAAATACCAGGTGTCAGTGGCTCACACCTGTAATCAGGAGGCTGAGATCTGAGGATCGTAGTTCGAAACCAGCATGGGCAGAAAAGTCCATGAGACTCTTATCTCCAATAAACTACTCAGAAAAAGCCAGAAGTGACACTGTGGCTCAAGTGGTAGGTATATCACTAACCTTGATGGTAGAGCACTAGCCTTGAGCCCAAAGAGGCTCAGAGACAGTGCCTAGGCCCCAAGTTCAAGCCCCAGGACCAGCAAAAAAAAAAAAAAAAAGAAAGTGATGGCAGGTTCCTATAATCCTAGCACTTGAAAAACTGAGGCATGGGAAATAATAGTGAAACTCTGTCTCAAAATAATCAAATGAAAGTGAGAAAGTACAGAATCATCCCTATGCCCATTACATGCAGAGGAGAAAGCTATAATTAGTGTGAGGTTAAGACTTTTTAGGCTAAGTCTGGACTTGGCTTAGGCCCCTGGTGCTGTATCCATGGGCTCTCTGAGAACCTGTTCTGTCCACTTAACACCCTGTGGGTATCCTGGCAGCGCATGCAGCTTCCAAGGCAATGGCATTGTTGTTGGTCCTCAAACAGAAGCTAATAAATAGACCAACACAGTAAGCACTTGAAGAATGAGTCCAAGAATATCTCAGGGAAAAAAAACAACACAACTTTCACAATCTGTGCTTGGACAAAGCCGTAACAACAAACAGACGAGCTCTGGTCGGCAGAGCAGATTATTTCTGATTTCGCAAAAGCGAAGGAGAAGGTGCCTCAAAGCTGACAGATCCTGCCGTTTGATTAGGCAGGAACTTTATAAGAACATATGCGGAGGCAGTAATTAGGCCTGTGGCTTTGGAAGAAAAACAGTGGAAGATCGTAACATGCCAAAGGGAAGTGAAGCATTCACTCAGGAGCTGGTGGGGTGTGCTACACGGGTTCCTGGGTCAAACAACCAAGAGAATTGACTTCCATCAAGTAGAACCTTCCGATTCTGGACAAGATGTATGGCTGACTCCCTAAGGGGAGAATATTCTTTAAAAATATGTTAAGCCCACATTTACTTGCTCATAAACACTTTCCCAGAGGCATTTGTGTGATACTTTTGTGTTCAGAAAGCAATCCAAATAGAGACAATCTTCTAGGTCTGGTTGCTTCTACATTACAGGCAGGAAATTAATCCTGGGAAGCCATTGCCTTACCCATACACACCTGGGGAGGAACCAAGGTAAATTCATTTTACCGAGTTTTCCTGGCTAAATCCCCAAATCAGGGAATCTACTGGCTGTTTCTATTGCTGTTGTTGTGGTAGCCGTGGCCATATTGGAGACTTGGCTATAGCAAAAATTGCTTCAAGTAATCATCTTTGGATGTCTCCTCACATTCAGGGATAGAACCACACCTGCATTCATTACAATCCTGTCTGACTTGCAATGACAACTGCTATTTGATCCTAAACCATTATCCTTTGGGGGAGGAGACTGTCCCGCTCCTGCCATGATCTCTGAGATCCTCTTGGCTCCTCTCCCCAAGCACCCCTCCCCCAAAAATGAGCAGCCCCTGCCCCACCCTTGTCCTTGCCTCCAGCAGCGTGACCATGATCATGAACCAGGGTGGGGGACAGCAGGTGTAGCTGTCATAGTACCACTTGCGGTCAATCTCCCGGGGCAGGGTTTCATAGGCCACATGGCGAATCAGCCGCTGCGACAGGCTGAGCCCCTTCTCCTCCAGCAGAGCCTTGCTGCTCAGCCTGCGGTTGCCTTGCAGGATGGCCTGACGGAAGCTGTTGGAACGCTTGTTGCTCATCTGTCCAGGAAAAGGGATGAAGAAAGAGTCAGAGCTGTGGCCTCAGGGGAACCCTACACCCACTTCCCAGCCAGTGTGTTCCTTAAGAGTAGGCTGAACCCTATATAACCTTTTGTTCTCTAATAGTTAAGCTCTTATGTGATGGTAGAGTTATTCTGAGTACCTCACATATGTTAGCACATTTGATGTTCACAAGTCATCTGTTAAATAAGGGCCATGAATAGGAAACTGAGGCACAGTGTTAGGAAGCTACCACATTCAAATCCAGATCTGTATTTGTATTCCCTCTACCTTCCTTCCATTTACTCATCTAACACCTACCTATCATAATTTACCAAGCAACTAAGTATCAAGATAGAGAAGTAACCAGCAGTTGCAGGTCAGAGTAAGTGATAGCTGCCAAAAGAACACAGTGCTGGGCACTCACTGATGGCTCATACCCATAAACCTAGTCTCTCAGGAGGCCAAGATCTGAGGATCGCAGTTCAAAGCCAGCTCAGGCAGGAAAGTAAGACTCTTATCTCCAATTAACCACCGGAAAACCAGAAGTGGACCTGTGGCTCAAAGAGGTAGAATGCTAGCCTTGAACGAAAGAGCTCACCAGGCATAATAGCACCCACACCCTGATTTCAAGCCCCCGTGACAAAACAAACAAACAAACAAAAAACCCCACCAACACGCAAGAGGTAGGCCTATCTGTTTCCAGGTGGTCAGCAAGACCTGGAAGAAGTGCAGGCTGGGTGGGAGCTGAAGGCTAAGTAGCTATACATTCTCAGCCAGAGCTGGACAGTGTATGGAAGACCTGACAACCAGAACCTAGCCAGGACTGTGCTGTAGAAGCCACTCCTATGTGCCTTTGGGACCTGTGACCTTGGGCAAGGGCAAGTGGTGGTGTTCCCCTTGGCAGCCTTGGCATGTTCTCAGTGTAGCCCTGGCTGCCTCACCTAGCAGTCAGCCTAACTCCCAGACCAGAGGGAGCTTTACTGACCTCAAGCTTCCAGGAGCCTGCAGACCCCACTTCCCTACCAGGGCTGTAATACCCCACAATACCTGTGGAGGTGAGGAGAATCCCTAGAAACATAGCTCTCCCTACCGTGGTGCACAGCTACTCTATGGCTACTGGAGTGGGATTGGTCAATGGACTTGGGGGCTATGAGCCAGCAGTGGGATGTCAAGACCAAACCTGATAGCAGAAGCCAGACAGGGCTGGCAAGGCCTGGGGATTGAGCCCTGTCAGAGGAAGGCAGCTGGGAATGGATATGGGTTCAGTCAGGTCCAAGTAGTAGGAACCTGTCCTCAGAGCCCTTCCTCAGTACTGAGCCCTGCTGTCTCTCACCTCAAAAATCTGGCATCAAGCCTGCATACTCAAGTAGACAATCTCAAAGGAAACTTTCTGCCATTCCACCCTCATCCCAGTGGCACAGGCGTTGTGCAAATGCAGGCAGGAACAGGGGCTCACATTAGCCCCAAATGGGACTCTGTTGTTATTTTATAGCTTTTCTCTTCATGCTAAGTTCACGGTAGGTAGGTCCACCTCAGGAAGATAGGGACCTGAGCTTTGCAAGAATTAATCACTTCCCCATGGACCCTAAGTAAATTACATGGGCAGAACTCAAATCCAGATCTATTTGATTGAAGTCCACACTAGCCTATATAGGATTTTTATGATGAGATAGATATAGGAACCTCTTTTTCTTTTTCTGGCAGTCTTGGGGCCTGAACTCTCGGCTTGAGTGCTGTCCCTCAGCTCTTCAGCTCACTTGAGCCACAGTGCCACTTCTGGCTTTTTCTGCTTATGTGGTACTGAGGAATCGAACCCAGGGCCTCATGCATGCACTACCACTGAGCCACCTTCCCAGCCCAGGAACCTCTTTTTCTAAGGCTTTGGTGCACTCCAGACTAGGTTTGAGCTCCTATTCATCCCTCAATCAGGATTCTTGTGTATAGTACACAACCTGCACACCCGTACATGACAACCCTGTCTGCTCAACTGTATACAATGTGGACTGTGCTACTGAGGCCTAGGAAAAGCACAAGAGGGGCTCTGGCTAAGGATAACATGTTCTGCTTGGGCTGGGCCAGGAGAGATCTCACAGAAGATGCAGGGGCTTACCTGGAAGAACAACAGTATGAGACAAAACTTTCAAATAGAGTCCTTTATCAGAGTCAATCTTTGAAGCATCCCTGAATAAAACTTTGGATTCAGTGTAGAGAGAGGACATCAGAGGGCCAAAGGCTCTTTCTCGGTGAATGGCAAAGGCATACTGAGGGGCTCAAGGCCCAGGTCTGCCTAACTTTAGGCCCTGAGCTCCCCACCTATCCAGAACTTCCTCCCTGGTCTATTTATTGGGTTTCCAGAGCAGCCCAGCTCACATGAATCCAGACTGTGGCTGGAAGTTCCAGCCAGAAAAATCCTGATAGTAGCATGTCACTCTCTTTTGGAGAGCTTTACTGCTAACTCTCTAGCTCAGTATACTCTCACTGGGCCTTGAGACTGGGCAGGAATATTGCTGTGTACACATGCAGGGACTAGGCTGGTTCAGACCCATGCCTTGCTGGGCTCCAAGTCACTGAAACTCATCTCCACCATCTGAACTGTGAATCTCCATAACCCTCAAATCCCCCCTGTCAGCTCCACTCCCTCAGGAGCTGTGCTCTCTGGGTATGCTCTAAACAGAAGACGATTCCTCCATCCCTAAAGCCCAACCACGACCTATGTCTGGGTCACGGAAGCCCTTAGCTGAGGGACTCTTACAGCAACCTACTGCCTGGACACCCCTATCACAGACAGCTAGTATGCTATGATGATGGCTGTGAGTGGTGAGGGCTCCCCAATGGATGCCTTTGGGTTGTAGAAGACTGGGTAATTCATACAGGCCATTTCACACTCCCTCCATCCATGTGTGACATGATTCACCTCCATAACACCAACAGGGAAAGCAAGGGAGACTATCAGTCTTGCATTTATCTTGCTAACTCTTGGAGCTTCTACTGAGGAATTCCTGTCCACTCACGGTGAATCTTGCCACAGCAGTCCCTGCAATAGCACAGCATTAACCCTCAGAAAGGAAGAAGTCTCCACCCGAAAACACCAGACTCAGGAACCTTCCATCTGCAGCCCCTCTGCCGACCCTAGACATCTGCCAAGCTCTGGCCTCCACCGCTCCCACATGCTGCACCGCTCCCAGGAAAGTCTGATCTGTCCTAGCAACTTTTACTAGCAACAACTCTTACTCTCAGTCATTTTGGTGTAGCTGGCCCCAATCCAAGTTTTAGGGTTGGGCACTTGTTGAGATTTGAGTCTGTTAGTACATCCAGGCTAGGCCAGTGGAAGGGAAGAAATCCCAGGCTTTGTGCAGGAGCCCCACAAGAATTGAATCTCGGTATGATATGGTCTGAGGATGTGAGGGTTGGAACAGTGCAGCCACCTTGCTACCACAATGGGAGGGTCTGGAGCTTCTTTGAAGAAGGCAGAGCTGAGAGATGAAGACAAATCAGGTTCTGAGTGGTATCCTTTCACTGGCTGAAGCCTGGACCTCTTAATGCTGTGACCCCTTTATCTAAATCTCTTCCATACATATCTAAGACACAACCCCCACACAGGCCCCTCTGAGGCAAGGGCCCCAGAGTGCTCACCAGGTTGACAAAATCCTGGTAGCAGATCTGCCCATCTGCATGGCTGTCAGCGAGAGCCAGGAGCACCTCTTTTTTGTGTGGGTCCAGCTTGGAGCTATGGCTCTCCAGGAGGCTTCGGAACTTGCCTGTGCTGATGAAGCCCGTGTTCCCAGGATCAAACTGAGGAAGAAGCACAGAAAGCAGTGGAATCAGCAGGGCCCTCCCCCATCTCCCAGCACTGACACAGGGCCCAGATTTCCACCATCACTCACTGAGGCCTGGCCCCACCTTCTGCCCACAGAGGACAGGTGGTATCTGGGATTGTTCAGTATCACCCAATCCAACTGTCTAGCACAGAGAAGGAGGCAGACTCAGAAGTATTAAAGCATCTTTCCTTCACCTTTAATTCTGACAGTGGACCAGGAAACAGGACTTAAGGGATAACGGTCAGCAGGGAGAAGGAGTTCCCTCTAGGAGATCTGATGACAGGCGAGGGAGGAGCTGAGCTAAAGCACTAAAGTAGGGATGCAGAGTTCTCCCTGAGCAGAAGGTGTACCCTGGAATGTCCTGTATACCTTGGATACAGTCCACCTGCCCCCACAGGGCCCAACTAACACCCACTCAGGCCAGTTTACGTTGGGGAGGTATATGTTCACACTATTTGGGGGTGGGGAGGGCTGGTTGTGGGGCTTGAACTCTGGGCCTGGGCACTGTCCCTCAGCTCTTCAGCTCAAGGCTAGCACACTACCGCTTGAGCCACAGCACCACTTTCAGTTTTCTGGTGGTTTATGAGAGATAAGAGTCTCATGGACTTTCCTGCCTGGGCTGCTTTTGAATATGATCCTCAGATCTCAGCCTCCTGAATAGCTAGGATTACATGCATGAGCCACCAATGCCCAACTCACACTATTTTCTTTTTGTGTGTGCATCCACCAGTATTGGAGCTTGAACTCAAGGCCTTAATATCTCACTTGGTTTTCTTGCTCATAGCTCTTGCTCTTGAGATGCAAGTCTAGTATCTTGCTGGCAAATTAGAGATGGAATCTTGTAGCCTTTCTGCAGGGGATGGCTTTGAACCAAGATCCTTCAGGTCTTGGCCTCCTGAGTAGCTAGGTTTATAGGCTTACCTATTTCCTTACCTTCTACAGCTTTGCACATGTAGGTCCCTCCAATTAAGATTGCCTTTCCTCTCTCTTCACCCTGGGACTCACTATTCCCCACTACGCTACCATCCTCTTTTCTCCCCCTCACAAACAGCTCTGTATGACTGTTTCTCTGTGCCCTGGATAGACTGTGCGCCTCTTAACCACACTGTCTCCAGCTACTTTCTGCCTCCTCATTGGACTTTAGCTCAGCAAAGACTGGCACTGCACCCCAACACCCTAATGTTTAATGCACAGCTCCATTATGGGCACTCAGATTTGTTGAATGAGTAGATGGGATGTGTAGATAGACAGGCACTAATTTTCCTTGGAAAGTTGTATGGTTTCAGTTAGCAAAAGCAGGAACATATTCATCTCTCCCAGAGAAGCTCTTAACCTTTCTTGTCCCTCCTTCACCCAGTGCCCACATCTACCCTCACATGGACCCTACCAAGAATGTGATAAGAACAAAGGGCTCTCCCCTTGACTCCAGAGAGACTCCAGAGACTCCAGAGTCTCTCTGGATATGCTGCTATAGGTTGTTTAGATTTTAAAAGGCAACAGATGGAGGTCAGTGATAGAGCACTTGCCTAGCATGTAAGAGGTTCAATCTCCATTATGGTAAAATAAACAATAAATAAAAAGACAACAGATATTAGGGATATATTATCTGGGGACAAGGGAGTTTACAAGCCTAAACTCCCTCCTTCTTTCCCTCCCTTCCTTCCTTCCCTTTTTTTTTTTGGGTCCGGTCGTGGTGCCTGAACTCTGGGCCTGGGTGCTGTCCCTCAGCTCTTCAGCTCAAGGCTAGCACTCTACCACTTGAGCCACAGCGCCACTTCCAGCTTTTTTCTTTTTGCTTATATGGTGCTGAGGAATTGAACCCAGGGCCTCATGCATGCAAGGCAAGCACTGTACCACTGAGCCACCTTCTCAGCCCCCCTTCCCTTTTTTTGAGATAGGGTCTGTCTCACTATGTACCCTAGGTACATCTCAAACTCACGATCCCCCTGCCTCGGCCTCTTGAGTGCTGGGACTGCAGATGTGTACCACCACAGCCAGCAGGTCTCCCTCCCCTTTTCCTAGATAAGGTTAATGAAGGCTATTTTAGGAAAGCAGGTTCTGTGTGGAGCGTTTCTAAGACAATATAAGAATAACAGCGAGGAGTCACAGTCATAGATGACTTCAATTCTCCCCAGAACTCCCCAAGAGGACATTTTTTTTTTTGGGTCCGGTCATGGGGCCTAAACTCTGGGCCTGGGCACTGTCCCTCAGCTCTTCAGTTCAAGGCTAGCACTCTACCACTTGAGCCACAGCGCCACTTCCGGCTTTTTTCTTTTTGCTTATGTGGTGCTGGGGAATCGAACCCAGGGCCTCATGCATGAAAGGCAAGCATTCTACCACTGAGCCACCTCCCCAGCCCCCAAGAGGACATTTCTAAAGAAGCCCATTTTAAAATCCAGATATCCTAAGCTCCAGAATGATCTTTGACATCCTATCACAGTACAGTAGACCGTACTATGGTCCTTGTATTACTGAAGAGAAAGGCAGAATCAGCATAGAAGTGACTTTCCCAACAAGCCACAGAGGCAGGATTCCACACCTGGACAATTTAGTACCACTTGAAGTCACCGCCCTTCAGCTCCAAGGTCTGCTTTGCTGCTTAAGATTCAAAACTGAGAGACTACAAAGTTGAGCACAGTCTCAGACCTAGGCGAGGCAGGGCTTCTTCCAAGATCCTATTCTAAACAGTTTATTTTTCAGCAGAAAAGAACCACTGTTTTGCCCACCTTATTGCTCAGATGCAGAAACACAGAGCCTAGAGAAGAGCAGACTATGGCAATAGCTGGCAGGGTGCAGCCTCTTTCATCCCTGAGGGCCAATTCTCCAAATCCATCATGGGGAATCACTAGCCAGCCTCCACATGCTCTCATGTGGGCCTTGGTGCTGTGTGGACAGTTTGGAGACAGGGGTTGGGGGCACAGGCCTGGGAAGACCCCTAGTGGGCCCTGCACGGGGGGGGGGGGGGGGGTTGTAGTACAACATATAGTCTCTCTTGGCCCAGCAGTAGGAAGAAGCCCAGTGGTTTTGCATATGCTGGGAGCAGGGACACCAATCCCTTCCCAGGGGCCTCTGGAGGGCAATGGGGTAGGGGGCTGGGATCAGGCAACAAAGAGCCACCTGCTCTCCTCCTGGCTCTCCCTTGTTTCAGGCTCCCTGCTGTTGTCCTAGTGACAGGGGATGCCCTGTGGCTCCCTGGCCCCCAGCCCCCACCCCAGCCTGCCTGCTCTGCCCCAAGCACATTACAGACTCTACACTGCAAAGAACAAGCTGGAATCAGGCCGAGCCTCCATTCTCTGCCAAAATTCTACCTTTCATGCCAGGGCCAGACAGGCTAGACAATGCAGGGGAGGGAGGGGAGGGTCACTGCAACCCTAATAATGAGGCTTCAGGGACTGGAGGATGACTAGAGGGGATAGAGATGGGGCGGGCTGACTGGGCTCCAGAATGCATGCAGGATACCTTTCCATCACCACCCAACACCTGGGAAGATGAAGAAAAGGGCAAAGGCTAGTGTGGGAGTAAGGCACAGGATGAGGGGAGTGGGGGCAGAGAGAGGAAGAAAGGGACAGAGAGCCAGAGGGAGGGAGATCAACCGCAGAGAAGGCAGAAGGTACCATCACTTCAGAATGAGGTTGGGGGCTTCTAAGTAAGGCCATACCCCTCCAGCAGGGTAACAAGGAGCCAGGTAAAATCAGCCAACAACTAGAGTTTGTATCATTTAAGGTAAACAGCTCTAGCCCCAAAGGCTCCATTTGTGGAGTGGGCAGAAGCACTCCCAGGGCCTGGTCTCACTTGCCTCATATTTTGGGGAGCGGGGAGGGATGGGTTTGGTTATGGGGCTTGAACTCAGGGCCTGAGCACTGTCCCTGAGCTCTTTTGCTCAAGGCTAGAGCTCTACCACTTTGAGCTACAGCACCACTTCTGGTTTTCTGGTGTTTAATTGGAGATAAGAGTCTCATGGAGGGCTGGGAAGTTAGCTCAGTGGTAGAGTGCTTGCCCTGCATGCATGAGGCCCTGGGTTCAATTGCTTAGCACCACATAAACAGAAAAAAGCAGGAAGTGGCACTGTGGCTCAGGTGGTAGGGCACTAACCTTGAGCTGAAGAGCTGAGGGACAGCACCCAGGTCCAGAGTTCAGCACCCATGACCGACCCCCCAAAAAAAAAAAGTCTCATGGACTTTCCTGCCTGGGCTGGCTTTAAACCTCAGATCTCAGCCTCCTGAGTAGCTAGGTTTACAGGCATGAGTTACCAGCACCAGACTTTCCACTGGTGTAACTTGAATGAATAGAGGGGATACCTTTTCCTACCTACCCTTGGCCTCCGTCTGCCCTGCTGGGGGGGTGGGGGGTGGGGGGCAGGGAATGGCAATGACATCACACTAGCACTGTGGTTTGGCGTTCTGAGGGGAAAGAGCTCTGTAAATGCAAGTTCCCTGTTAATAACGTGCTGAAGCTCCTGAATCAGCCCGCCCTCCCTCGAGTACTGCATGGCCTGGATTGGCCCACTTAGTGGGGCACTTTCCTGGTGAGGTGGGGCTGGTCTGGCGGTGGTCATGGCAGCTGGTGGGCTATGAATAGGGCTGGTCCCAGCAGGGAGTCAGGCGCTGGGGAGGGTCCTGAGCTCCCTCTAAAAGAGGGTCTGGTGTGGTCTGTGGGAGGTTGGAGGTGTCAAGACCACATTCAGTCTGAGTGCAGAACGGCAGAGAGAGAGAGGGGTCGGCCCTCCCACATCTCCCGCCCACCTGCCTCAGGCTTGAAAAGAGCTTCAAGAGGCTCCAAGGGGACTTTTAATCCCACCAGTGCCCAACCCCTAATCCTCTAGGTCACTAGCTGTCCCCAGTCTAAGGCTGGCCACACACACACACACACACACACACACACACACACACACACACACACACACACACACACACACACACACACACACACACACACACACACACACACACACACAGTCTCCCTTCTCCTCTGCTC